CGTCCGGCTGTTCCTTCTCCTTCTCCTTCTTCTTGTGCTGCGCCGGCTTCTTGTTGTGCTGCGGCTCCTCCTCCTCTCCCTCGCCGTCGGCCGACTGTTCCTTCTCCTTCTTCTTTTGCGCCGGCTCCTTGTTGTGCTGCGGCTCCTCCTCGCTCTCATCGTCGTTGTCCGATTGCTCCTTGTCCTTCTCCTTCTTCTTTTGCTGCGCCGGCTTCTTGTTGTGTTGGCCGTTCTGTTGCTGTTGTTTGGCGGCGCGGGCCTTGGCGCGGGCCTTCTCCATGTCGGCGAAGAGCTCGGCGCGGCGTTCGAATTCCTTCATGCGGCGCGTCTTGCCCTCCTCGAACTTGTCGCGCATGCGCTCGCGCACCTGCATGAGCTCCTGCGTCCACCGCCGCTCGTCCTCCTCCCACTTCTCGTACACGCGATCCTTGGCCTTCTGGTGCTTGAAGAACACGCCCTCCTCCCTGTCCTCCGGGGACTGCGCATTGTTCACACCAACCCAAGTGAGCTCATGGCACACGCACACACCGCACACGACACACACACACACACGGCACACGCACACGCACCTCTTTGGTCTTCTTGACGTATTGGGGAGAGTCTTCGTCGACGACGAGGAAGGTCCAGAACTTCTCCAGCGACTCAGTGCATTCGGGCATCTGGCCGTTCTCCTTGATCTCCTCCGTGAGCTTGGCCAACAGAGTCTTCTTGTACCGCACGAACCCGTGCTCGCCCAGGGCCATCAGAATTCGACCTGCCACGCGAGCAGTTAGCGCACGCACACGCACGCACCACCGCACACGCCAACCGCACGCACGGGGGAAAGGGTACTGATGCGGAGGTTGTTGTGGGAGCAGTAGTTGAGATTGAGGAAGCGCTCCTCGTATTCGTCGGTTCGCTCGAGCTCGCCCGTCTCGTAGTCCACTATCCGGAAGCCGTAGAAATTCAGCATCAACCTGTTGTGTGTGTCGTGCCGTGTCGTGTCGCGTTAACGATACGATCTGAGTGTGCTGCACACACGACACACGACACACGACACACGACACACGACACACGACACAGACACACACACGGCGTTTTGAGGGCGTACTTGTAGGAACGCAGGAAGCGCACGTTGCACTCCAACGTCCTTCGCATCTTCCTGGCTTCCTCCTTGAGCAGGCGGTAGGACCCAAAGTTCATGCCCTGGCCCTCGAATATCGCAAACAACCACTGAATGTAGCTGGATTGGCAGGTCATGCACCACGGCGTGCGCTGAGTAAGTGCGGTGCACGGTACAGCACAGAAGAGAAGAGAAGAAGAGAAGGTGACGTGGCACACAGGAACGAGGGAGGGTGGGTGGGGGGGTACCCGTGGTGGGATTCGAGGTGGTCATAGTCCCAGAACCACTCCAGGTGGACCTGGTCGATCCAATTGCCGTCCGGCACGCTCTGCAGCCGCCCCGTGTAGAACAGCTACACAAAGATATTGTGAATATTTTGTTATATAATATTAAAAATAAAAAATGTTGAATATATATTCTGCTTGATTTTTTTCATTAATCTGACAACTGTCATTTAAATAGTATTTAATACATAATAAAAGGAGGAGGGGGTACGTGGTTGGGTTCGCTCATCCAGGACAGGCCGGTGACTGCGCGGAGGAAGGTGCGTTCCCAGGTGGTGGGCGGCAGCTGGTCCTTCTTCTTTTTCTTGTACACCGTGGGCTTCTTTGGCGGCTGTTGCTTGTTGCCGCCACCGCTCTGGGCCTGGGCCGGCTTCTTGGCAGCCGCCAGCCTTCTTCTCTGGTGCGTCCATCTCGTTGCTGCTCAAGCGACAACCTGCAGATTCAAACCAAGAGGGCAACACTTGTTCGGCGAAAGCCGTTCGCAACCCTGTTTTGATTTTATTTCAAATAAGTGATAAATAAACAAAAAAAGTAACAAAGGGAAAAAGAAAAGAAGCGGAGGCAAGTTGGGCAATCTCGATTTCCATCTCTACATTTTACTTAAATCACTTGAAGAAGAAAGAAGGAGGGATGTCGAGCGCAGTCCTGTTGCACCAGCTGCAAGTTCTCGAACAGCAGCGAAATGGATCTTCATCATCTGCAGCGACCGGCGGCAAACGTAAACGAGCATCTTCTTCTTCATCTTCATCTTCACTCGCTGCGGGGGCCAGCGGGCTCGTAAACAAGATGGGAGGAACACCAAATGACAAGAAGAAGAAGGCGAAGAGCGGTGAAGCCGAGGAAGACGTGAGGGCCAAGCGATTCAAGGCGGCACTCGAGCAATTGGCGGCACAGGGGACCCCGAACAAGGGGCGGGGGCGACAACGGGTGAATGGAATGCAGAAGACTGATGCGCTGGTGGCGGCCGTGCGAAAGGCCAACGCGAGGCAGCAGGCCAACCGGACCCGCCCCAATCTCGCACGCCTTCGAACTACGGACAGGATGACCGCCAAATCGAGCAAATCGTCCATGAAATCGGTTCTCTCGCTGAGCGGACGGGCTGCCAGGAAGAAGAAGGAACCTAAGTGGCATATTCAGAAGGAAAGCAAGGAGCCCCGTGAAGTGCCCAAGTGGTAATATACAATTGACAACTCCATCTAGACCCAATTCTTTTTTCTTTTTTTATGCCCCCTCTCTTCATTCAATCGTTAACATCCAACGGACCCGTCGAGCGGCACACGCAGAGAAGGAGTCAGGTGCCCCACGCTAACCCCGCCGCCCCAAGGAGGTGAGTGTAGATATATATATCCACGTTTTGCGTGATTGGCTGGCGGGCGCTGCTATGCAGCGGGATTCGTCGGAATCTGTTTGGGTGAGCTGAGACCAAGCCTAAGCCTCTGATCGCCATGACCACTCACCGAGTCGCTGGGGTGAGCCACACCCGCCCATCACACTTCGTGCTCAGCCGCCATCACCGCGTGGACAACCCTTCGCCCGACGGCGACGGCGTAGAGTTCATCAAGCTTCGGGCCGACCCCGCGGACCGGGCGGTGGGCGATCTGTCCAAGTTCCAGATCACGAGCTTGAACTTCCTCGACGGCCAAGTCCTCAAGCTGTGGGACGTCACCAACTACACAACTGCGACGGCGACGTACTCGCCGTCAACGACTTGGGTACACTTCTTAAATCAGATTTATCATCTTTATCAATTTCAAGTACGATTTGTGTCTCTTTCTTTATCTCAACAGTTCCAGCTGGTTGCTCGTTGATATGTACATCAAATTTAAATACATGCACAGACTCTCAAGTGGCAGAGTCGTCGTTCTCGCCGTCATCGTTCTCGTCATCGAGCACAAACTTGACATTGCTTCGATTCTTGCGCATGCGGGTGGTCGGCGGGAACGGCTGAGGCGAGGGCGAGCGGTGGTCCCCGATGGGCGAAGACGACGAAGTCGAAGGCGACGACGACGATGATGATGAAAAGGCCATGGCCAGCTGGCGCGATTGGCCGCTGAGTGCTCACCCAACTAGTTTTGTTGTTTGCACAGTCATCGACTTCTTCCCCTTCAACGCCGCGGCACGACAGGGCGGGCCAGGCGATGGTGCACAACGGCTTCGGGATCAACGCGCTGCCCCTGGCGTCGGTGGTCACAGGGGAAGAGGCCCACACTTCTTCCACCTGGTGTCGGAGGTGAGCCAGGCGCCGCAGGCCAAGCGCCTCAGCTCCAGCGCAGGGGTCAAAGTGAAGGAGGCATCGTGGCCAAGAAGCGCAGCATCTCCACCGGCAACGGCGCGGCCATGGGCAGCTTCACGGTCATCGCCGAGTCGGCAGGCGCCGCATCGCGTCTGTCGGCGGACTGGATGCCTCTCTTCTTGTAATTCTTGTAATTCTGACTCACGCTGTCACACCTTCCTTCATAGCAATGTTGCTCGTTGATATGTACATCAAATTTAAATACATGCACAGACTCTCAAGTGGCAGAGGCGTCGTTCTCGCCGTCATCGTTCTCGTCATCGAGCACAAACTTGACATTGCTTCGATTCTTGCGCATGCGGGTGGTCGGCGGGAACGGCTGAGGCGAGGGCGAGCGGTGGTCCCCGACGGGCGAAGACGACGAAGTCGAAGGCGACGACGATGATGATGAAAAGGCCATGGCCAGCTGGCGCGATTGGGATGGCGACGAGAAGGACGTGGTGGGCGACGAGAAGGAGGGCGTGGGTGAGGCCGACGCAAAGGCCGACAGCGGCGTGGGCGTCGAGATCTTGCGGCCGCTGCGGCTCGGGTTGCGCGTGTGGCGCGACACGAACGAGTTGTTGCGGGTCATCATCGCGGGCGTGTTGCCGCTTCCGGCACCGCCGCCGCTTCCATTCAGGCCAGCCGACTGAGAAGACGACGTGGACGAAAGCGTCGCCTCGCGTCCGCCCTTGTGGAGATTGAACAGCGACGGCACCTCCTTCTCACTGTCACCACGACACACACGACCCACGACACACCACACGACACGCACACGACACATACACGAAGGGTGAGTACAGACCCAAGGCAAGTGTGGGCTGGTGGGGAGGAGCGCGAGTCGCACCCGTCGTTCATGCCCTTGAGGCAGGCGGTGATGTAGAGGAGGTTGGCGAAGATGGTGAAGTAGGAGGTCCACGGGACGGTGTCGGTGAAGAAGGCCAGGTAGACCGAGTAGCAGGTGCTGGCGATGAGGCCGGCCCAGCGGCGGGCGCCCTTGCGGGTGATGAGGTAGGACGAGAGGAGGAACACCCACGAGTGGCGGATGGCGAACATGTAGCCCTTGGTGAAGAGCTTGTTGAAGGTGGCCCGCTTGCTGAGCCGGCCGCCCCCGATGATGGCCTGCCGCACGAGCGACTGCTTGGTGCGGCGCAGCAGCGGCGCGGCCGCACGCGTAGCGACGGCGGCTGGTGATGTAGAAGATGAGGATGAAAAAGGAGAAGATGAAGATGCTGAAGATGAGCGCAGCCAGCCCTGGATGAGATCGGCCTTGTGGCGCTTGACGAAGAGGATGAAGCGCGACCAGAAGATCCACGCACCCAAGCTGGCGTTGGCCACGACGGCCATGCGACGCGAGTAGCGTAACGACCACTGGTGGTTCTCCTCCTCGAACTCGAGCACCTGGAGCTTGAGCCGTTCGAACTCGATGCGCAGGTCGTCCATGCCGCGCTCGAGGCTCTCAATCTGCCGCTGGTGCTGGGCCAGGCCGTCGCCGGTGAGCACGACGGTCGATGCATTCCGCTTGAGCTTGTAGCCGCCTCCCTCTAGCTCGCCCTCGCCCACCTCGACGAAGCCGAAGCTCTGCTCGTACTCGACCACCTGCGGCTGGTTGCCCACGTTGGGCGAGGACGCTGAAGATGGAAGGGCCGACGTCGAAGCGGCGAAGGATGAAGATGGAGGGGGCGACGAGTGCGGCGATGCCGCAGGAGATGGGTGGCGAGGGGGCGAGGGCGGGTAGCCATAGGGCACTCCCTGCGGTTGTTGGGTGAGCGTGGCCGGATCGCCCCACGCTGGCGGCACCTGATGGTCGGCCATGCCTCCTTTGTTGCTTGTTTATTTTCTTTATTATTTTCTTATTGATTTTCGAAGCTAAGGCGAACACGAGGTGTTGTGGGTGATGAGCATTAACGAAATAAATATTAGGTGGGAGACTAATCTACAAGGTGCGAGCGGTTGGGGCTGAGGTGCAGGATGTCGAGGGTGCGCCACTGCGGCGCCTTGAGCGGAACTTTGATGGTCAGCACCCCGTGGCTGTACCTCTGCGTGGGTTGTGGGGGGTGGAGACGAAAAGGGGAAAGAGAGCCCGTGATCAGACACTGATGATGACCGGGACGATGATGGTTGCATACCTGCTCAGTATGAGCGATGTCGGCGTTCGGGGGCAGGACCACCTGAAGCGAAAAGGGACCCTCTGGTCGCTGCACCAACAGATTCTCCAGCGTGCTCTCGCTCTCGGGCGAAAGCAGCGAATGTCGATTCTTCCGCTCGCCCTGCACCAGCGACACCGCGATCACCGCGTCAGCCAACCCACTGCGCCTGGGGCGCAAAAGAAGGTGGAAGGGAGAAGGAGGGAGAGACCTTGATCACGAGTTTGTTGCCGTCGGTCTTCACAGAGAGGTCCGTCTCCGGGGCCACTCCGGGCAAGTCGATCTGGATGACGTAGGCCTCGACCGTTTTGTGCATGTCTGCAGAGAACGAAGAGCGAAGAACGAAAAATGAAGAGCGAAGAGCGAAAAGCAAAGAGTCAGCGCTGTTCAGTAAATTACGGACTCGTGAGAGCCGCGACGGAGGGTGGTGGCGGCTGCGCACCTGTTTTAATCCAGGGGATGTCGCAGGAGAGTTCGACTCCATCGGGGAAGCTGTGCACGTGCTTTGGTGGATCGTCCGTGGGCCGATGTCGCTTCGGTGTCGCTCCACCCTGCTCCTTCTGCACACGGACACGACACGCTTTCGCCAGTTAGCCACCCGCCAATCGGCCTCGACCGAGTGGGAAGAGAGGTGCAGATGGCGCCACCTTTCGCTTGCTGCCCTTGGTGAGGCTGGGAATGTTCTCCATGATCTGGAGCCGATTCTTCTTGAACCACGCCATATCGGCCTCCAGCTGCTCCGCGCTCCAATCCACATTATTGTCCACACAGCACGTGGCCAGCTTCTGCATGAACGGCGTGTCCATTCCTGCACGTTGCAGTGACCAGGAAGGCAGACGTCAGCTCAATACAACACACACACACACACACCAACTGGGTGGTACCTTCGTTGGCTGTGGGCTGAATCATTTCCACATTGGCATAGGCGGGCATCGTGCCCTCCTTGCTGCTGTTGGGCTTTCGTCTCTTCATCAGCGTTCCTGCACACGACACACGCAACACGACACGCACGACACCTGAGTCACGGTGGACATTGCGCCTTGCTGCGCCAATTGAGAGCGCGAGCGCACCATCGGGGTTGGTTCGGAGCTTGGGCTTGCGTCCCGGCCTGCCTTGCGCCTTCTGCACGAACTGCTCGGGGTGGGCCACCTTCAGGGGCTCCAGGTCCTCCTCGATCCACTGGTTGATCTTCCGGCCGAGGTAATTGTCCCGCAGGTGGTACTGCGGCAACAGCTTTCGATAGTAGAGTGCCCACCACTTGTCCTTCACTTCCTTGTGTCCCGGCTTCACTCTGTCCGGTGTGCGTGTGCGTGCGGTGGTGCGTGTGTCGCGTGAGTCGTGTGGTGAGGCAACGGAGCTGGTGTGTGTTACCTGAACCAGGTCCTGTAGGCCCATCGGGCAATCTCCTCCCGCTCCCGCAGCGAAACGAATCGCGTTCCGTCTTTCCCGATGCTCTCCTCGCCTTCGCCCGCCTCCTCCCCGCCGGCCTCTGCTGCTCCCCTCGCGCCGTGCGTGGTCGTCGTTGTCGTCACTGGTGTATCTGCGGTGGGAAAACAAGTTCAAAAATTAAAAGATATATAACCCCGAAACAGTCACTACACTCACGATCTGCACATTTTCTCCAAAACAGGTTCGGTTGCAGATCACCCAGTCCGAGATTCAGATTGCGCGAGTTTGCTGGTTGGAGCGTACCTGGCTCATCTTCGTCTTCGTCATCTATCGGTGGTGGTGGGAATTGTTGGTGCTGCTGGTGAAGTTGGTGCTGGTGGGGTGATCGGTGCTGAGTGTGGTGTTGATGCGCCGGCGGCGGTTGGTGGTGCTGGTGGTAGTGGTGGCCATAGGCCTGGGCCATGGCGAAGCCACCGCCGCTGCTGCCGAGACCCGGTCTGGTTACAGGGCAAGGTCAAAGAAGGAAAGTCAGCGGAAGGTCGGAACACGTTTGCCAAATTAAAAGTTGTCCAATCAGAGAAGTAACCTGACATTAAAACAGGTTCCTAGATGTTGCCGAGATACGGCAAGCTCCATCGATCGAGAAAAAGAACGAGTGACCACGTAAGAAAGGAGGAATATCACGTACGGCATGGAGTAGATGAGGTGTTGGGCGTCCGCACTGTGGCGTATCAGCGAGGCCTGTAGTGTCGTTTTTTGTGTTGTTTTGTTTTTTTTTGAGTGTAGGTGCGTTGGTGCGGCGTAGTGAGATGGTTGTCAAGAAAAGGGGGTACCTGGTGCGAGTCAGTGAGCCCGTCATGCAGCTGCACAGGTCCGGAAGAGGTGAGCGGATCCTACGGCATTTTGAAATCAAAAACGAAAAGAAGAACGGTTAGTGCGCAAGCACACACGCGCGGTACGCCCGGGCTCTCGAACCGGAGAACACGAACGACCGCACACAAACCACAGCATCTTTTGGCCAGGCAACACACACCCTGGTGCGACGTACGTCGAGGTGGTCCGGCTCGGAGTGGTGCACGCCCACCGACATGGAGGATTCGTGCAGGCTGTGCTGCTGGTGCGGCATGCCGCCGCCGCCGAGATGATGCATGAGCGGGTGATGATGTCGCGAGGAGGACAGGGCGAGGTGCTGTTGATGCTGCATCGAGAGCTGCTGCTGCTGTTGCTGGATGTGATGCGGAAGCGGCGGAGAGGACAGATGGCGAGGCAGCTGGGGTTGGGGCGACAGCGTCAGGTGGTGGTGCGCGTGACTGTGCAAAAGGCCCGCTTGCAGCTGCCCGCTTCCGTCGCCGCCTTTACACAAACCACAAAGAGAAGATTAAACAGATGAAAACAATAAAATCGATCGTAAGTGTGCCCATCATCAATCAAAGAACGACTTGAAAAGCATCAATCATAAATCTGATGCCAAACGCAAAGAGATGAACAAATGCGCTGCGGCTGCAGTCGTACCCGGTGATAGGTCTCCGCCGGAGACAGTCCTCCGAAGGGGTGGCGGCCCTCGCCCTGGCCCCTGCTGCTGCCGGTCGCCCAAGCCGCCACTTCCTCCGCCGCCCTCCATGCTCAAGCGGCCCGGAAGGGTAGTGGGCTCGGACCTCGTCTAACAGAAGAGGGAGAAGACGGGGAAGAAGAACAAGAGGGACAGGGAGAGAGGAAAGAGAGAAGAGCGTGCATGTCCCCCCAACTGTGGCGTGTTTGGGGGTGGTTGGTCTGCCGCGGCGCACACGCCCCCCAACCTGATGTCTCCCCCATTTCCTCCCCAAACCGACACAACTTGGGGAGCTATCTGCCGTCGGTTGCGGGATTTTAGGGGGCACGCTAAAATGTCGACAATTATCGTTGCTGGGCATTGGCCAACGGACAGCTCGTTGTTGGGCATGCGAGTGCGCTGGTGGACGGACCACCTGCCTCTCTTGAGCCCGGGGCCTCTGCGCCACAGACGGACACACGAAAACTTGTTTGGGCCGTGTTGCGCGGCAGAACTAGTTGTTCATATCCAACGGGAGCTCATCCACTCTCCGCACTAACGCCACGCAACCAACACAACACAACCGCAACCGCAACCGCAACTTCTCCGGTTGTATCAACACCTCTGGATCGCTTGACCAACCCGCGTGCCGCATCCATCTGCCGCACCGAGAACCAAAGGCAAGAAAGAGTGCGCGTGCGGTCGTGCATGTGGTAGTGTGCGTGTGGTGGTCTTTGTGAACACAGGGCCACACGGCTTCACGTCCCGTGGGCGCTGAGGATCGCGCGGCAGGGGTGGCACAGCGGCTGCACCACGCCGGGCACGAAGCCTGACTTGCCATGGGGCGAGAACAGGCGCAGCAGCTGCGGCGGTCCATCGTGGCGAAGGAGTTTGTGGATGCACCCGCGCTTCTTCCACCGCTGGCACAGCACGCGACCGCACAGCACGCAGTGGGGGCACATCTCCCTCTCGTCCAACCGCGTGATGCTTTCCTTGCAGGAACCGCAGTTCATAACATCTGCTCGCACGGTGCGTGTGCGTGTGCGTGTGCGTGTGCGTGTGCGTGTGCGTGTGCGTGCGGTCAGAATAGAGCTCGGATAGGAATGTGGGCACTGCAGCCGTACTCGAGTCGGGTGTGGCGATCATCCGAGCGCAGACGGCCTCGAGGAGCTCCAGAGACAGGGCCGCCACCCGGCCCGTGCCAATCTTCTTTGGGCGGAGCTGCTTGAGCAAGAAGGCGATGCACAGCTGCTTGAGCTGCTCGCTGGCGAAGGTGGTGGCCATGCCCCACAGATCGTTCACGTTGTCCAGGTCGAGCCCGCGCTCGATCATCCGCTCACACGGCCGCACCAGAGCGTCCATACCGAACTCGTTGCCGACCACGAAGAGCTCCACCACCTGTTCAGGGTCGATTTCGCCCACGAACCCGCTGTAGTGATACCGCACAACTTGGCGGAAGACCTCGGGCCGCAGCCCCGCGATCGGCACACGGCGCTGAGTTGCTTCCTTGAGGCCCGTGAGAAACATCGCACGGAAGTAGTCGCTGCGCGGAGCCAGCAGACACTTGTGGGCCACGATCTCTATCGCCACTGGATGTTCGTTCGCCTGAGCCTCTTCGCTTTCGATCTTTTCGTCGGCGTGGGCGTCTTCGTTCTTTTGCATCTCCTTGTCGCCACTTTCGTTCTTCGCGACTTCATCGTAGCCGGCACCATCGTCAGCAGTCGCGGCGGACGGCGTCACGATGAAGGAGAGGTCGGAGAAAAGTGGCTGTTCGAAAGCCGCGAGGAGGTCTGACGCCAGCGTGTTGCTCACCGGGGATGGCGCGTCGAGCGCGGCGGCCGCGGCCAGGCGAGGGAACGCCACCATCTTCTCCAGGAGGTCCTCCAGCGGCTTTGTCGCATAGAGCCGGGCCAAGTGGAGCAGCTGGCCCACCACGTCCTCAACGTCCGAGTCCGAATCATCGCCGACGGCGAGCTTTTGGCGCCGGTGGAGCACGAAGAGCGTGGCCGGCAGCGGCGGCAGCGTGTCGCAGTAGAGGTACTGCAGGAACGCCCGAACCGCGCGGGGAGTCGCCCAAGGCGGCAGGCAAAGAGTGGTGCGCGCCGCCGGGTCGGCGGCAGTGGCGCGCTCCTGGGGCCGCCTCTAGGTCCACGAGCTCGGCGCTGAGACTGTCGCTGCGCATGGCCAGCACGACGCGGTGGGCGTGTATCGCGCTGCCGTCGCCCAGCCGAAGCAGGAGATCGCTGCACTCGTCTCGGTCGATGAGCGCACTCAGGGCCAGCCAGGAGTTGGGGTCGACCGCCCGGCTGATCCTTGCCCTCAGGCCCGCGAGTGACGGCGACAGCGGCCCTTTGTTTGTCGTCGACAGTGACACGTCAGCAAATTCACCGGAGGCACTGTCCAGTGTTTGGGGAGTAGTGGGGAGGGTGGTTACGGTACCGCGCCAGGCGGCAATGTATTGGGCGCCGCAGGCGATCTGAGTGATGCCTTTGCCGGCGGGCAGCACGACGCGGGGTATGGGGATCCGTTCCAGAAGCATGCCGCAGGCGAACACTCGGCCGTCAGCTGGAAAGAGTACCATCAGAGTCAGGCCGATGTGTCACAACATGACCAGGAGAGCTTCACGTAAGCGTGGCGTGGTGTGGTACCCGACAAAGCGACTGTGAGGCCGGTGCCGCAGGCGACCGCGATGATGCCTTGTCCGCTGAGGTGGAGGTTGCTGGTGGGCGCCGACAGGAACGACTCGCCCTCGATCCCCAGCTGCGACTCCTCATTCGAGCCCCACACCACCACATCGCCCGTATCTGTGCATAACAAAAGAGATAAGAGACGTCATTCTTTGTCGTCTTCATTCTTCTGCCCTTTTCGTTCTTTTGCGGTACGAAGGGGGGGGGTCATGCACCGATGAGGGCCACGGTGTGGTAGCTGCCGCAGGCGATGTAGAGGACCTTCATGCCAAGACAGGCCTGCACGAGCTGCGGCCTATTGACCGAGGACTCGTTGCAGTGGCCCAGCTGGCCCGACAACCCGTTGCCCCACGTGTAAACCGTGCCGGCGTCGGTGAGCGCGACCGAGTGCGACTCGCCGCACGCGATCTGCACCACCTTGAACCCGTCGAGCCCGATGACGGGGTGCGGTCCAGGTCCATGAAGCACCGAGTCGCCCAGGCCCAGCTGCCCATCGCCGTTCTTGCCCGAGCTGAACACATGGCCCTGGGCTGATGAGCGATCGGCGGTCAGGCTTCGATCCGATTTCAAGCAAGCACCACTTCACACTGCAATCGACGTACACGTGAGTACGAGGCTGTGACGGTCGCCGGTGGCCACCTGCACCACGTCCAGGCCCTGCAGCGACTCCACCAGCCGGGGCTGTTCGACGCAACGCGCATTGAAGAAGAGCTGCCCCTGGGTACCTGCCCACGCACGCATGTGAGTCGTCAATTCACATCAATGCTGCGCAGGTGGTGCTGTGGTACTCTCGCCCCAGCAGTAGACCTGTGTGTCGCCCGCTTCCGACGAGCCAGAAGATGGTGAAGAAGAGGCGCTACTACAGAGAAGAAATCGGTGGTTGTAGCCGTTGCCGGACGCGAGCTCGAAGGCCCTCCCCACAGCAGGCTGGGGCAGCTTGACCTCTTCCGGGCGCGCCACCACCCGTCGACCTTCGTCGTGCGCCAGCTCGACCCCCACATTCGAGCCGCACGCGAACACCCTTCCGCACCCTAACCTCCGCACAAATAGCGCGGTGTGAGCAATACCAAGTGTCGGGGGCAACGCACGAGGTGTCTGGGGCACACACCGGTGAGGAAGAGGGTGTGCCGCTTGGTGCACACGATCTGTCGGAGCTGCAGGCCGTCTAGCGCGGGGTTGCGCAGGAGGGTGGGGCGCGCCGAGTCGGCCGCCCCGTCCTCGTCGTAGTAGTCATCGTCGTCGTCTTCGCCGCCCATGCCCAGCGCGCCCCAGCCGCCAGAGCCCCACAGGTAGACGTACGAGGGCTGCTCCATCGAGAATACAAACGGGTTGGCCTCAAAGTCGTCGCTGTCCTGGTGTTGCGCGGCCGACAGGGTGAGCATCTCGCCTTGTGTTGCCTGGGCGGGCGAAGGGGTTCTGAGCTGCAGCTCATCATCTTCAAGCTGCGTCTTGCTATCCTCCACCCTCTTCATTTTGTGCACTTTCGGGGCAAGAAAGAAAGGGCGCGGGCAACTTGCTTCCTTTGGCTCCTGTTTGGGTTAAATCAGGCGTTCAGTTGTGGGTGAGTATTACATGAAATCTGACCATCACGCCCTTTTCTCACATTGGTGGCAGTGGGCACCATCCTAAGTCCTGAAGCACTTAGAATATGGGGCACCAGGAGGGGTGTCCCATGCTGCTTCCCAGTTGGGCCTTGCCAGGCAGTTCCCATGGGAGGGGCAAGGGCTGACAGTGGGCCACAATCCCATTCTTTACAAAGTGACCTCTGACATCCTTGTTCTGGCCCTATGAGAAAGCAATATTCACACTTGCTTGGTGTTGTTTTTCGCCCCCTCAGGTTCTCACGCCATTCACTTTTCCAACATGCACATGTGTGCTGGCTTCCTGGGTTGGCAAGCATGACAAGGGCCCTTCCCACAGAATCTTGATCTAGTGGGGCTGAATGCTCTGTACAAAAGTTGTTGTGGAGGTGCCTTGCCACAACCACCATTTTCTCCATCAACGGGATTGTGTGGCCCTTGGTTTCATTTTTAAAACCAGGAGCAGATCAATACACAATACATAAATCACTGGATTTCGTACAGGAGGATTCAAGGCAGGGGGCATCTCACGGTGCTTGCCTCTTCCTCCGCTTTCTCTTGTCCTCGAGCCCGCTCTCTTCTTCGTCGCCGCCGCCAACCGCAACGCTCGCCTTACGCTCCTGCTCGTCGGCGCGCTTCCGCCTCTTTGCCTCCTCTTCCGCTTTCGCTTTCGTGTCCTTCTCCGTGGCTTCCGCGAGGGACAGAGCGATGGCCCGCTTGAGCTCTTCATCTTCGTCATCAGCACTGTCCTCCTTGGCCTCCCGATTGCCGTTCGTCCTCCCGTCCTCCCTCGCGGGCTTCGTTACCGTCACCGTTCGCGTGGCCGCCCTCGCATCTTCATCTACTCTTCGGCTTTGCGTCGTCTTGCGCTCCTCTTCGTCGCGCTTATGAGGTTCCGCCGAAGCCGCACCGTTGGTGCTGCTGTTGGCCAGATCGCCGAAGAAGCTGAGATTGAGGATGTCATCGCTGTCCTCCGCCGCGTTGCTGCACGCGTCCATCGCGTCGTCGAAGTTGTAGGGCTTCTTCGTTTTCTTCTCCTTCTTCTCCTCTTCGCTGTTGTCATGACGTCCATCGTCACGCGATCCCTCTCTTCCTCTTCGTCGGCTTCCTGCTTTCTGCCTTGCGGATCTTCGCGACGCCTGCGCCCATCGTAGCTTCGCTTGTGGCCGCCTTTCTGGGAACCGCGCTGGGTGTTGTACCGAGTCATGGACGTAGAAGAGCAGATATCCGTTCTTCTCCGCTTGTTCGCCCAAGGCTGCCGATTCCTTCAACTGTTGACATGTCCGCACGTTACAACGTTACAACGCGATCAGTAACTTGACTTGATGCGTCCTGCGAACATCGTCAGCACAAAGTGGGTGCGCGTGTACCTCGTAGACTCTGTCATCGTTGTACTCCTTCCACTGGCCCGACGTGGGATTATGTACGTAGGAGGTGTAGTGACCCATGCTGGCCTTGGCGCCCCAATGCACCACGATGCTTCTCTGCACATTGAACAAGAAGATCATCAGACAACCCAACAGTTGAAGTCGTTGTCTTTGAAAGCGGGCTGTGCG